GCAGTAGTACTCGGCGCTGGACTGGCTGGTGCAGGAGGACCCGTCGTCCAGGACTTCGGTGCTGCTGCTCCGCTGGGACTTGCAGAGGGAGAAGAACGGCCGGTCGTGGTCCAGCTCGGACAGCAGGCGCGACTGGGACTCCAGGCTGCCACTCCGCTGGCGGCAGTGCTGAGCGGGGGGTTCGGGCCTGAGAGCGAGAAAGGCAGACTTGTCAGAGAGGAGGGAAGGGACCACACCAAGGAAAAGCCACGGGAAGGATTTCAGAGCTACAACTGCGGCAGGACTTCCCCGGTTTCCCAAGCCGACCATGCCCCAGAACCCAGCACGCATCTCCATTCACGGCCATGGTCACGATGAGAAAAGAACCAGGTCCTGTCAATTGTATCATCCACGGCCTTTCCTGAGAAGCAGGAAGATAAACTGATGACACACACCTGCATCAAAGCCGAAGCCCCCAGTCTCTGACAGGCCCGTCTTCCACAGGATGGGACACACAGGCTCAGGGCCTGGCGTCGGGCTCCGCCACTCCCCGGCTGGGTGAGCACGGCCCGGGCAGTCCACCTCTCTGACCCTCACGCCCTCCTCTAAAATGAGGACAAAAGCAGTACCCGGTATCTACAATCAGGCTTGCTGTGGGGACTAAATAATACGGCGCATATAAAATAGCGCAGCCTTCAGCGAACACTTCAAAATGTCGCTACTGTCATTATCTTCATCCTCACCACTGCATAGCAAATGGTAGTATCTGGTTGGAAAGATTAAGGGGCAAAACATTACAATATTGACTTGAACATGATACATGTTCTTTGCCGACAAAAGTGAAACTGTGAGTAGAAATGTAGATCCATAAACTAGAGACCTGCTGCCCAAAGCCCCTTAAAATGATTACAAAACACAACAAAGTAAAACAAAACCTGAAGGCAAAGCTTAACAGAGCCCACGAGGCCGAGGGGGCCGCTCTTACTCTAAGTGGCTGCTGCTGTAGGCGTTGCGGGTGAGCACGGGGGTGGTGGGCATGCTCCGCCCTCCGGGGGGCCGCCGCTCCGGGGTTTTGTAAGGGCTGCTGTGTGTCGACAGCATTTCTCTGTGATGGAAACAGAATTCAGGAAATGATGAGTCTCCAACGTCTGGCAAACGTGCCACAAGCTAAAGGAAAGGGCGCCTGGCCATTACTGTATACTCTTCTTCAAAACCTACTTAAAAACACTAAATTACATCTAAAGTTCCATGTTGCTTAATATTTGTTTATAATGTTATTTTAATGACTATGTAAACTCCACTGCAAGGATTTACTATAATTCATTTAAACAATACATTTGGGCTGCTTTCAATTGGTCACTAATATAAACAATGCTGCAATGAGCATCCTATATTTAATTAGTTCAACAGGAAAAATCCCAGTCAGTGAAATGACTGGGTCAAAGAGCAAACTCATTTTAAGCTATTGGGGATGTGGGCATAATTTTTAAGATAATGATTGTTAGTTATAATTCTTCCTTGTGCTGAAATAGCTTTGTTTCCTGCGATGTGAGAAATGCGTATGCCTGTTCAGAGCTCCAGGGACTTTCTTCAGTGAGGGAGATGTGCGTATCTGTGCTGTCCTAGCCTACAGCACTAGCCACGTGGGGCTGTTAGTACCTGACAGGGCTGCTGTAACCGAGGAACTGAATTTAAAATTTTATTTACTCTAATTATGTTGGCTAGTCGAGCTTTAGGCACTTGGATCTCTACTGTGTAAGGCGGTTTTTAAATGCCAATCCACAAACTGGGACTCATATGTGACAAAGGTTTTCACAGAACTTTGACAATTCAGAAACATAACCTCATATTGGTTTTACTTTCATGAGTGAAAAATTATTTAATCCAAATAATCTCTTTATTTGGAGACTCGTTTCCATCTTCCCTGAGATGAGGTATAGCACACTGATTAAAATCACATCACAGGTTTTAGAGCAGGCTGCCTAGGTTCAAATCCTAATTCTGACACCTACTAGTTGACAAACCCAACAAGTTATTCATGCTTTCTGTCCTCGGTGTACTCATCTTTAAATGGCAATATAGTAGCAATACTGTCAGAATTGTCATGAGGATTAAATTCATTAACATACATTAAAGCACTTTGAACAGTATCTGAACAGCATATAGTAAGTCCTCAATAAATGTTAACTGCATCTCATTACTATTGTGATGATGATGATGATGATGGATGTATTTTTGATATTTATGTGTTTTTCTTCCCCCATGAAATCATGGTGTTGTCTGTTTGACCATTCTGATTAGGCAAAGCAAACAGCTGGCATCCTATCTTGGGTCCCATTTAAAAAATTAGTATTAACCCATGTAGCCAGATTTTGGGAATCCCTGGTCTGTCATCTTTTAAAAATCTGGTGTTATTACCTGATGATTTTTACCCAAGACACTGGAGAAAAATCTGTATTACCTAGTTTATAGATTCTAACGAACTGAAGTCCCGTTTTCATCGGAGAGGTCATGTCAGTCTCACTACTTGGTTGGGTGAAATGACATTTCATGACAGTTTCCTGACAGCATGGCTATAAAACTGGACTTTACCCAAATCCAGATTATAATCAATGTCCTTATAATTAAATGTAAACCTTTAAATACAAGAAGTAGCCAAACGTTTCTTAAAAGCACTCTTCTACTTGTGTCACCACAAATAACCGGGCTAGATTCTATGTTTCGGCCTTACAAAATAACCCTTCTGACAGGATGGAGAGGACCAGACAAAAGTGGGCTGGCCATTTTGGAGAAAAGACCCGAGGCCACGAGCCTCTGTCCTCGTGCTGGTGTGGTGCTCACCTGGGCTGCCTGGCATCCACCAGCTGGTCACCGATGGACGACTTTCTGAAGTGGATTCGCTCAATGCCCAGAGACTTGGGGGGAAGAATTCTTGGAGAATGAGGTACTGAACTCGATCGCTGCCCAGCAAGAGTGAAGGTGTCATTAGCTGTAAGAAGTAAATGAATGAATGAATAAGTAGGTAAGTAAATAAGTGAATAAATACTGTGCAAACACCCCAGGAAAGAAATGAGAAGATCTGGTGAGAAAGTGTTCCTCCAATGATGATGATTTCAGAAGCACATGGCTTTCAGGAAATTTATTTTTATATTTTATATTTTATACACTGCAGAAAAGAAATGACTGAACACTCTGTGGGGCCTGATCCAACGTTGCCAATTCAATCAATGACTTAGGTGGAATGGCGATACTATAGGTTTTGTATCACAGAAAACCCCAGTGTGTAAAGGGCCAAGAGGAAGTTGTTTAACTTTCCTTTTGAAGTTCTTAGGCCTCTTTGGCTGCTGAAGGCCCATCCTGTCATTGGAGGGGATGCAACTGATCTACGCTGAGAGACTGAAGGCTGGTCTCCCACTAAGATCTGTATTTTGAAAGAGGAATGGCAAGTCTGACCAAAGCTCAGCTCAAAGGAAGATTCTGGAATGGTGCCACTTCACACACCATAAATGTGGGGGGAGGTAGAGCAGTGGGGGTCCAGGGCTCCCCCAAATTACTTAAACCCCATCAGATAGAGTGCCACTCCTCGGCTGAAGCGCAAGGGATCACAAGGAAACACGGTGTCACCTGACACGAAACCCACTCCATCATGAAATGTATTGAACAAACACAACATTGTGCTGTGATACAACCCAACACATAGATACAACTTTGTTTCTATGAAACCGACATAGTGACATGTAACCCAATTTCTAAAATGTGTATTTCTTCCTAAGGAAAGTAATAGACTCCCCATTATCCAGAATACAGTGATAATCGCAGTCTACACTATAATTTCCTGGTTTGATTTTGGACTCCAAATGTATAAAATGTCACCACCGGGAAAATCTGGGTGAAGGTCTCCATATTGTTTATGCAGATGTATAGTTACTTCAGGAAGAAGTTAAAAAAGTCTACAGAGCCTTACAAATCCTTAGCGAGAGACTCGCTCACTCATGTGATTTGCAGCCCTGCGATGTGATGCCAGCCTGTGTAGAAGGTCATTGTAATCCCCCTCCCAACCTCTCTGCACAAATGCAGGTGAGTTCATTCTACTGCTCTCTAAAGAATAATAAGTAGGCTGCAGTTAACGAAAAAAAAAAAATTATCTTATTTCAGAATAGCTAATATTTTAAACTGAAAAAGGGGAGCTACTTACGATCATCACAGGTGGTAGTGTCGGACAAGGAGCTGCTTTCTGAGGGGATTACGTCTTCTGTGAATAACAATGACCGCCGTTAGTATAACTGCACATTTACACACCCACCGTGAGCTTAATAAAGCAATTCCTGGGGAGAGCATCTTAGTTAGATGAGTATAACAGTACGTTAAGAATAATTACTATAAGAATGGACCCATTTACTACGGAAGATGTGAGCATCTCCCATGCTGCATACATATGACATTGGACTATTTCTTAGAATGAAACAGACTTCAAGGGAGTTTTGTTTTTCAACTAGTTTTCATCTAGCTTCTACACGGGCGAGAACTTTACCCTACACACTGAATGTTTACAGCCCACACACTGGAAAGAAAAATCATGCCGTTCATGTCATAAATGCTAAATGCTATCGAACGTACACCTGAACGCTCATTTGAGAACCTGCTGTTAGTGTAACGTATTTCTAGACCCCTCTCCTGAAGAAAGGGGCCTTTTCTTAATTGAGCTGGACTCTTGGTGGTGCATTCGCTTTTCAAGTAGACCAGGGTCTCTCTGAGTGTGGCTCCGCTGACCTGTACTGGGGAATTCTTGTTGGGGGAGTTGTCCTTTGCTTCAGGATCTCCAGTCTCCACCCACTGGACATCCACACACCCCACCCTCCATGTTGACAATAAAAAAATTGCTTTGGACATGGCCAAATGTTCCCTGGGGGCCAACACTGTCCCTGGTTGAGAATCGCTGAATTAGGCAGACCTGCGTTCAAATTTTGGTAATTAATCTCTCTGAGCATCATTTGCCTCAATTTAAAAATGGGATAAGAACAGCGCCTAGTGAACATTAAATGAAGTAATGGATGGAAAGCCTTTAGCCCAGCCCTTGGCACAGGACGAACGCTCACTACACATTAGCAAACTTACCACTGTTGTTACTTAGGGGCAGGGTCCTGGTGAAAGAACTCTGGTGGTTGGAAACGCCCCTAGTGCTCTCAGTGTTAGTGGTGCCCACCAGTGCTAAGAAATGGATGAGCAAAAAGAGGCACCTCCGAGGAGTTGGTCTGCGTTGGCAAACCATTCCTGCTCAGTGTCAGGCACTGGTAAGATTACAGGCAAATGCGACACCTCGGTGTCAGCCCCAAAGCCTTATGTAGTGGGCCTCCCCATCCAATCTCAAATGTTAATCTCTTTCAGAGCCAGGCGGACTCTCTCTTAATTGGACACACGGTAGAGCCAGAAGGCAAGGTGCCAGCAGAGTCAGCTGTCAGACACACGTAAAAAAAATCTACCCAGTGTCAGTGCTCAACCACTGGCATCAGCTGCTGCCCAAGTGTCCGTCGCTGTTGAGAACACTTGAATCCTGCACGATCTGGGAGGAACAGTCACAGCAAATGCGATGAGAGTCAAGTGCACTGACCAGCCTTCTCTGTGAGCAGGGAACACAGCCCCCACCAGGGCCAGCTGGTGTGCGCACAGCCACCCTCAGTTCTCCAGCTGGAGCTGGCTGACACGTGGTGCTGGAGTCTATGCCCTCACTTTCCAAAACGACTGGCCCTAAGCCCGAGGACCCTTTCAACCTAGTGACCATATTTTGTCAAATCTAAGCTGTATAATTATTTTATATCCCAGTAAAATAAGAAAAAGTTACTACCAATCATAACTGTAATACTGTCTAGGATAAGAATTATCCCAATTTCACAGATGTTTAAATGTGAAAAATAATTCTTAGAATCAAAGAAATATAATCAGGTTTCAACCAATGATCAAGACTAAAAACCAGGCTAATAAACATGTAGGGCTGACTGGAATTGAAATCTACCTAAATGAGATTTTTCAATTTACTTTTTTTTCTGAACATGAAAGTTTTAGATACATAATATTGAGAATTCTGAAAGTACAGAAGAGTGCTAAACAGAAAATTAAGTTACTTAAAATTCCACAACTATTAGTATTTTAAAATATTTCACAAGTCTGTGTGAACATCTATATATATATAAAAAGCCAGCGACTGGAACACTGTAACAACCAGAACGACTGGTCGCTATGACACCCACTGTGGCCAGCAAACCTGCCCGATGGGGGGTGGGACTGGCTGGCCAACCTCCCGCAGCCCCTCCCCCCAGCTGGCCCCACCCCTGATTGGCCTCTCCAACCCCGATCGAGGGCAGGGCAGCTGGCCAACCCCCCCGTGGGCCTTTCCCCTGGATAGCCCTGCCCCTGATCACCGCCCCACCCCAATAGGGGACAGGGCTGGTC